GACATTGGGGTCACTGGGGACACTGGGGGCACTGGGGACATTGGGGGGACACAGGGACAGCTCCTCACTCAGGTAATGGGGGATGTGCCTCAGCACCGGGTTCTGGGGCTGGGGGCACACCACGGGGTCACTGGGGTCACTGGGGGTCACTGGGGACATTGAGGGGTCACTGGGGACATTGGAGGTCACTGGGGGACACTGGGGTCACTGGGGGCACTGGGGACATTGGGGGTCACTGGGGACACTGGGGGGTCACTGGGGACATTGGGGGGACACAGGGACAGCTCCTCACTCAGGTAATGGGGGATGTGCCTCAGCACCGGGTTCTGCGGCTGGGGGGACATTGAGGGGTCACTGGGGGTCACTGGGGGTCACTGGGGACCCACTGGGGGTCACTGGGGGTCACTGGGGACATTTGGGGACACAGGGACAGCTCCTCACTCAGGTGATGGGGATGTGCCTCAGCACCGGGTTCTGCGGCTGGGGGACATTGGGGGCACTGGGGGGTCACTGGGGGCACTGGGGACATTTGGGGGTCACTGGGGGCACTGGGGACACTGGGGGTCACTGGGGACACTGGGAGTCACTGGGGTCACTGGGGACACTGGGGGTCACTTGGGACACTGGGGACATTGGGGGGACACTGGGGGACACTGGGGACATTGGGGGTCACTGGGGACACTGGAGGTGGTCACTGGGGGTCACTGGGGACATTTGGGGGCATCTCCTCGCTCAGGTAACGGGGCCCAAGGGACCCCCCAGGCACCCCCCAGTGACCTCAACAACCCCAGTGACCTCAGGGACCCCAGAGCCCCCGTGACCCCCTAATGATCCCCCAAACCCCCCAAGTGACCCCGAAACAACCCCAATGAGACACCCCTCACTGATCCCCCAAAAGCTCCCAGGGCCCCCCAATCACCCCCCATTTTCTTTATTTTCCTCTTTTCCCCAATTTTCCCACCCCAGTTCTCACCCTGGGAGTTCCCAGCCTCCATCCCCCAAATCCCCCATTCCCCCCAGTTCTCACCCTGGGGGTTCCCGGGCTCTCCATCCCCTCAGTGACCCCCAGGACCCCCTAAATCCCCCCCAAATCCCCCCATTTCTCACCCGGGGTGGTTCCCGGGCTCTCCATACCCCCCAGGACCCCCAAATCCCCCCATATCCCCCATTCCCCCCAAATCCCCCCATTCTCCCCCAGGACCCCCCAAATCCCCCCATTCCCCCGAGGACCCCCAAATCCCCCCCATTTCTCACTCCAGGAGGGTTCCTGTCCCCCCAAATCCCCCCATTCCCCCCAAATCCCCCATTCCCCCAAATCCCCCATTCCTCACCCGAGGAGGTTCCCGGGCTCTCCATCCCCCAAATCCCCCCAAATCCCCCATTCCCCCCAAATCCCCCCAGTGCTCACCCCGGGCTCGGTGCCGGGGGGGTTCCTAGGCTCCCCGTCCCCCTCAGCCCCCTCGGGGCCCTGGGGGGGGTCCTGGGCGGGGTCCCCGGTGCCGGGGGGGCTCCAGAGGCGGGCGCGGGCGTCCAGGGCCTGCACCAACCGCGCCGCCAGCTTGATGTCGTGACGGACGATGGGGCGGTGCTGGGTGAGACCGGAGACGTTCCGGACACGCCGGGTCAGGTCCCGGTTCACTCCCGGGCTCAGCTCACACTCACGGAGCTGGGGAGGGTAAAAAAACCCTAAATAATCTAAAATAATCCTAAATAATCCAAAATAACCCCAAACGTGACCCCGGTGCTGGGTGAGACCGGAGACGTTCCGGACACGCCGGGTCAGGTCCCGGTTCACTCCTGGGCTCAGCTCACACTCCCGGAGCTGGGGGGTAAAAAATAACCCTAAATAATCCTAAATAACCCCAAAATAATCCTAAATAATCTAAAATAATCCTAAATAACCCCAAACGTGACCCCGGTGCTGGGTGAGACCCAACACGTTCCGGACACGCCGGGTCAGGTCCCGGTTCACTCCTGGGCTCAGCTCACACTCACGGAGCTGGGGGGGCAAAAAAACCCTAAATAACCCAAAATAACCCCAAAATAACCCCAAACGTGACCCCGGTGCTGGGTGAGACCCGAGACGTTCCGGACACGCCGGGTCAGGTCCCGGTTCACTCCCGGGGACAGCTCACACTCACGGAGCTGGGGGAGCAAAAATAACCCTAAATAATTTAAAATAAACCCCAAAATAACCCCAAACGTGACCCCGGTGCTGGGTCAGACCCGACACGTTCCGGACACGCCGGGTCAGGTCCCGGTTCACTCCTGGGCTCAGCTCACACTCACGGAGCTGGGGAGGCAAAAAAAACCCCAAAAAATCTAAAATAACCCCAAAATAACCCCAAACGTGACCCCGGTGCTGGGTGAGACCCGAGACGTTCCGGACACGCCGGGTCAGGTCCCGGTTCACTCCCGGGCTCAGCTCACACTCACGGAGCTGGGGGAGCAAAAAAACCCTAAATAACCCTAAATAATCTAAAATAACCCTAAATAACCCCAAACGTGACCCCGGGGCTGGGTGAGACCGGAGACGTTCCGGACACGCCGGGTCAGGTCCCGGTTCACTCCTGGGGACAGCTCACACTCACGGAGCTGGGGAGGGTAAAAAAACCCTAAATAACTTAAAATAACCCCAAAATAATCTAAAATAACCCCAAAATAACCCCAAACGTGACCCCGGTGCTGGGTGAGACCGGAGACGTTCCGGACACGCCGGGTCAGGTCCCGGTTCACCCCCGGGGACAGCTCACACTCACGGAGCTGGGGGAACAAAAATAACCCTAAATAACCCCTAAATAACCCTAAATAACCCCTAAATAACCCTAAATAACCCTAAATAACCCCAAACGTGACCCCGGTGCTGGGTGAGACCCGACACGTTCCAGACACGCCGGGTCAGGTCCCGGTTCACTCCTGGGCTCAGCTCACACTCACGGAGCTGGGGAGGGAGAAAAAACCCTAAATAACCCTAAAATAACCCTAAGTAACCCCAAAATAACCTTAAATAACCCCAAAATAACCCCAAACGTGACCCCGGTGCTGGGTGAGACCGGAGACATTCCGGACACGCCGGGTCAGGTCCCGGTTCACTCCTGGGGACAGCTCACACTCACGGAGCTGGGGGAGCAAAAACAACCTTAAATAACCCCAAATAACCCTAAATAATTTAAAATAACCCCAAAAATAACCCCAAACGTGACCCCGGTGCTGGGTGAGACCCGACACGTTCCGGACACGCCGAGTCAGGTCCCGGTTCACTCCCGGGGACAGCTCACACTCACGGAGCTGGGGGGCAAAATAACCCTAAATAACCTAAAATAACTCAAAATAAATCTAAAATAACCCCAAACGTGACCCCGGTGCTGGGTGAGACCCGACACGTTCCGGACACGCCGGGTCAGGTCCCGGTTCACCCCTGGGGACAGCTCACACTCACGGAGCTGGGGGAGCAAAAATAACCCTAAATAACCTAAAATAACCCTAAATAATCTAAAATAATTCTAAATAATCCAAAATAACCCCAAACGTGACCCCGGTGCTGGGTCAGACCCGACACGTTCCGGACACGTCGAGTCAGGTCCCGGTTCACCCCTGGGCTCAGCTCACACTCACGGAGCTGGGGAGGGTAAAAATAACCCTAAATAATCTAAAATAATTCTAAATAATCCAAAATAACCCCAAACGTGACCCCGGTGCTGGGTCAGACCCGACACGTTCCGGACACGCCGGGTCAGGTCCCGGTTCACCCCCGGGCTCAGCTCACACTCACGGAGCTGGGGGGGCAAAAAAACCCTAAATAACCCTAAAATAACCCTGAATGACCCTAAAATAACCCTGAATAACCCTAAAATAACCCTAAATAACCCCAAAGTAGCACAAAACTGCTGTAAATAACTCTAAAACACCCTATGATAACTGTAAATAATAAACTCTATGTTAACCTGAATAATTAACTCTAAAACAACCCCAAAATAACCTACAATGACCCTAATTAATAAGCCCATATAACCCCAAGTAATCTGAAATAACTAACCTTGAAATAACTCCAAACAACCCTAAATACACCTGGACAAAATGACCCTGAAATAACCCTAAATAAATAACCCTAAATAAATAATCCTAAATAAATAACCCTAAACAACACCTAAAGGACCCAAAACACCACAAAATAAATCCCTGTAAATAACCCGAAACAACACAAAATAACCCTAAATCAAAAAAACCCCTAAAACAACCCTAAAACAACTCCAAGGACCCCAAAACAACCCTAAATAACACAAAATAAATCATCATAAATAACCCAAAACTCTAAAATGTAACCCCAAATGTGACAACGACCCCCAAATCCCCCCCAGGACCCCCCAAATCCCCCGTACCCGGATGTTCTGCAGGCTCCAGCAGATCTCTTTGATGTTGACGCTGCGGTCGAAGGTCACCCAACCCCTCCGGAAAAACCTGGGGGGGTCCTGGGCTGTGAGACCCCCAAAAACAGCCCCAAACACAGCCAGGGAACCCCAAAACAGCCCCAAAATAGCCCCAAACACGCCCAGGGAACCCCAAAACACACCCAGGGACCCCCAAAACACACCCAGACCCCAAAAACAGCCCCAAACACACCCAGGGAACCCCAAAACACACCCAGACCCCAAAACACCCCCAGGGATCCCCAAAACAGCCCCAAACACACCCAGGGACCCCCAAAACAGCCCCAGGGACCCCCAAAACACACCCAGACCCCAAAACAGTCTCAGGGACCCCAAAAACAGTCCCAGGGAACCCCAAAACAGCCCCAAACACACCCAGACCCCAAAACAGCCCCAAAACAGCCCCAAACACACCCAGGGACCCCCAAAACACACCCAGACCCCAAAACCAGCCCCAAACCAGCCCCAAACATGCCCAGGGAACCCCAAAACAGCCCCAAACACACCCAGACCCCAAAACAGCCCCAAACCCCAAAACAACCCCAGACCCCCCCAAATCCCCCCAGGACCCCTCCCAAGCCCCCAGACCCCAAATTTCTCCCCAAGGAACCCCCAGACCCCCCAAATCCCCCAGACCCCAAATTTCTCCCCAAGGAACCCCCAGACCCCCCAAATCCCCCCAGACCCCCAGACCCCCAGGACCCTCCCAAGTCCCTCCAGACCCCAAATTTCTCCCCAGGAACCCCCAGACCTCCCAAATCCCCCAGACCCCCAGACCCCAAATTCTCTCCCCAAGGAACCCCAAATCCCCCCAAATCCCCCCAAATCCCCCAAATCCCCCCAGACCCCAAATTCCTCCCCAAACCCCCCGACCCCCTGACCCCAAATTTCTCCCCAAGGAACCCCAGACCCCCCAAATCCCCCCCAAATCCCCATAGACCCCAAATTTCTCCCCAAGGAACCCCAGACCCCCAAATCCCCTCCAGATCCCCAATCCCCCAGACTCCCCAGACCCACCTCCTCTCGGGCTGGGGCTCGGACAGGGCGACTCTCATGAACCCGGGTAACGCTTGCAGAGCTGGGGAGGGGGCACAGGGTGGGGTGGGGGTTGTTGGGGGTTTGGGGGTCCCTGAGACCCCCAGCTCCAACCCCCAAGACCCGCAGCCCCCCTCACCGCCACGATCTCGGCCTGGGAGATGTTGGGGGCGATGTTCCTCATGAACAGCGAGCAGGTTTTGTGCAGGGGGCGAGGTTTGGGGTCCTGGGGACTCCTGGGCCTCCCCGGGCCCCCTCCTTGGTTTTGGGGGCCGGGGGGGTCCTGGCGCTCTTGTTGTTGTTGTTGTTGTTGTCGTCGTCGAGACCCCCGCCCTTGTCCTCCTTGGGCTCCTCTGGGGAGAGAGGAGAAAGGGGTGAGGACCCCAAAATCCTCTGGGGAGCTCTGGAAACCCCCCAGACTTCCCTGACCCCCCAAACCCTCCTGACCCCCCAGACCACCCTGACCCCCCAGACCACCCTGACCCCCCCAAACCCTCCTGACCCCCCAGACCACCTGAGCCCCCCAAACCCTCCTGAACCCCCCAAACCCCTCCTGACCCCCCAGACCACCCTGACCCCCCTCAAACCCTCCTGAACCCCCAAACCCTCCTGACCCCCCAGACCACCCTGACCCCCAGACCACTCTGACCCCCCTCAAACCCTCCTGAACCCCCCCAAACCTCTCCTGACCCCCCAGACCACCCTGACCCCCCAAACCATCCTGACCCCCCACAAACTCCTCCTGACCCCCTAGACCACCCTGACCCTCCACACCACCCCGATCCCCCAGACCACCCTGACCCCCCAACCCTCCTGACTCCCCCAAACCACCCTGAGCCCCCTAAACCCTCCTGAGCCCCCCCAGACCACCCTGACCCCCAACCCTCCTGACCCCCCAACCACCCTGAGCCCCCTAAACCCTCCTGAGCCCCCTAGACCACCCTGATCCCCCCAAACCACCCTGAACCCCCCAGACCACTCCTGACCCCCAAACCCTTCCTGAGCCCCCCAGACCACCCTGACCTCCCAAACCACCCTGAACCCCCCAGACCACCCTGACCCCCCAAACCACCTGGACTACCCCAAACCCTCCTGACCCCCCAGACCACTCCTGACCCCCCCAGATACTCCAGACCACTCCCCAAGCCCCCCTCATTTTGGGGGTTCTCTGGCCCCCTCGCTGTCCCTCGTGCCTGAGACCCCCCAGACCCTCGCAGTGACTCCCCAGACCCCCAGGACCCCTACCCTCATTTTTGGGGTCTCCGGCCCCCCTCGCTGTCGCTGTCACTGTCGCTGTCCCGCTCCTCTGGCGCGGCCGAGCCTGCGGGGGCGCCAAGCGCGTCAGGGGCGGGGCTTGGGGAGAAAGGGGAGGGGCTTGGGGGCAAAGGGGAGGGGCTTGGGGGCAAAGGGAGGGGCTTGGGGAGAAAGGGGAGGGGCTCTGGGGAAAGGGGTGGGGCTTGGCAACAAAGGGGAGGGGGTTGTGGACCAGGGGGGCGTGGTTTGTGGTCACAGGGTGTGGCTCTATGGGGGTGTGGCTCAGAGTTGAGGGCGTGGTTTGCCACCAGGGGGTGTGGTTTTGCTCAGTGGGCGTGGTTATTTTTGGGCGGGGGCTCGGGTTTTTGGGGGGTCTGTGGGGGTCGTGTCCACCCACCTTGGGCCCCTCCTTGTCCCCCTCCTCCTCCTTCGGCCCCTTCTCAGGCCCCTCCTCCTCTTCCTCAGGCCCCGCCCCCGCTGCTGGCTCCGCCCCTGGCTCCGCCCCTTCAGCCTGGGGGGAGGGACAAGGGGGGGGTCACAAAGGGGGGCAAAAGGGACCCCAAAAACAGCAAATGGACCCCAAAACCACCAAAAACAGCAAATGGACCCCAAAACCACCAAGGGGACCCCAAAAACACCAAAGAGACCAAATGGACCCCAAAAACACCGAAGAGACCAAATGGACCCCAAAGACACCAAAGACACCCCAAAAACACCAAAAACAGCAAATGGACCCCAAAGACACCAAAGACACCCCAAAAACACCAAAAACAGCAAATGGACCCCCAAACAACCAAAGGGACCCCAAAAACACCAAAGAGACCAAATGGACCCCAAAACCACCAAAGGGACCCCAAAAACACCAAAAACAGCAAATGGACCCCAAAACCACCAAAGGGACCCCAAAAACACCAAAACCACCAAATGGACCCCAAAACCACCAAAGGGACCCCAAAGACACCAAAAACAGCAAATGGACCCCAAAGACACCAAAGGGACCCCAAAGACACCAAAGGGACCCAAAAGAGACCCAGGGGAGAAAAGGGACCCCAAATACTCCAGAGAGACCCCAAAGAGACCCAAAAGTGACCCCAAAGACCCCAAAAAGACCCCACAGCACCCCAGTCACCCCAAAGAGACCCCAAATCAACCCAAATACCACAAAGGTGTCACCCCAAAGAGACCCCAAATACCCCAAAGAGACCCCAAATACCCCAAAGGAACCCAAATACCCCAAAGAGACCCCAAAGAGACCCCAAATACCCCAAAGGAACCCAAATACCCCAAAGGTGTCACCCCAAAGAGACCCCAAAAGGGACCCCGAAAAGGGACCCCCAAAAGGGATACCCCAAAAGGGACCCAAAAGACCCCGAAGGGCCTTTTGGGGGTCCCCCCAAGGACCCCTCCCCTCCCACCCCCCGACCTTGGGGGGCTCGTCGGCCTCGGGGGGGCCCTTCCCGGGCGGCTCCGGCGGCCGCGGCTCCTCCTTCTTGGGCCCCTCGGCCTTGTCGGGCCTCTCCTCCTCCTCCTCCTGCTCCAGGATGCGCAGGTCGTGCTCCGAGCCCCCCTCCATCTTGATCACGGCTGAAAGTGGGGCAAAAACACCCGAGATCGGTTAAAATGTGCAAAAAACAGCCCCAAAAATAGGGTAAAACCCCCCCAGAAACGGGGCAGGAGCGCTCTGAGCCCCCCTCCATCTTGATCACGGCTGCAAGAGGGGCCAAAACACCCCAGAGTGGTTAAAATGTCCAAAAAATGGGGAAAAACAGACAGAAAATGGGGAAAACGGCCCCAAAAATAGGGTAAAACCCCCCCAGAAATGGGGCAGGAGCGCTCCGAGCCCCCCTCCATCTTGATCACGGCTGCCAAGCGGGGCCAAAGCACCCGAGATCGGTTAAAATGTGCAAAAAACAGCCCCAAAAATAGGATAAAACCCCCCCAGAAATGGGGCAGGAGCGCTCTGAGCCCCCTCAGGCTCCATCATGCGCTTCTGGGGGCTCTCAGGGAGGATTTTGGGGCTCTCAGGGAAGGTTTTGTGGCCTCAGGGTCTGTTTTGTGCTCTCAGGGATGATTTTGTGGCCTCAGGTAAAATTTTGTGGCCTCAGGGAAGGTTTTGGGGCCTCAGGGGAGGATTTTGGGGCCTCAGGGAAGATTCTGTGGCCTCAGGGGAGGATTTTGGGGCCTCAGGGTCTGTTTTGTGCTCTCAGGGAAGATTTTGGGGCCTCAAGGGAGGATTTTGTGGCCTCAAGGAAGTTTTTGTGCTCTCAGGGAAAGTTTTGTGGCCACAGTGAAAATTTTGTGCTCTTGTGAATGATTTTGTGCTCTCAGGGAAGGTTTTATGCTCTTGGGGATGATTTTGTGGCCTCAGGGGAGGATTTTGTGGCCTCAGGGAAGGTTTTGTGGCCTCAGGGGAGGATTTTGTGCCCTCAGGGAGAATTCTGTGGTCTCAGGGGAGGTTTTGTGGCCTCAGGGAAGGTTTTTTGCTCTTGGAGATGATTTTGTGGCCTCAGGGGATGATTTTGGAGCCTCAAGGAAGGTTTTGTGGCCTCAAGGAAGGTTTTGTGGCCTCATGCTCTGCTTTTCCCAGTCCCCCCCTCACATCCCCTCTTTCCCCAAGCCCCCCATTTTTTTGGGAGGGGGTGTCCCACCCACCTGCATCGAGGGTCTTGACGATCTGGGGGGCCCTGTCGATGTCGAGCAGGAGGTTTTCGAACCAGCCGTGCTCGGACAGGTACAGGAACACCCCCAGGCGGTTCCTCAGCGCCGCCTGGGCCTCCTGCCGGCGCCGGCCCGCCTCGTCGGGGTGGTACTTGGAGCGGAACCTGGGGAAAATGGGCATTGGGGGGAACAGGGGGGTTTGGGGGTTACAGTGAGATTTGGGGGGTTTCAGATTTGGGGGATTTGGGGGGTTTCAGTGGGACTTGGGGGATTTAGATATGGGGAATGGGGCCCCGCCTCATCAGGGTGGTACTTGGAGCGGAACCTGGAGGGGAAAATCAGCAGGGGGGAACAGGGGGTTTCAGTGGGATTTGGGGGCATTTGGGGTTCAGGGGTAATGGAGGAGGGTGATAAGGCCCCCGGCCTCGTCAGGGTGGTACTTGGAGCGGAACCTGGGGGAAAATGGGCAGTGGGGGAACAGGGGGAGTTTGGAGGGAGTTACAATAAGATTTGGAGGAATTTCAGTGAGATTTGGGGGGCTTTCACTGGGATTTGGGGGTATTTCAGGATATGGAGGGGGTAACGGGGCCCTCGGCCTCGTCGGTGGTACTTGAGCGGAACCTGGGGGAAATCGGCAGTGGGGGAACAGGGGGTTTGGGGGTTAGAGTGGATTTGGGGGTTTCAGTGAGATTTGGAGGATTTAGGGGGTTTCAGTGGGATTTAGGGGGGTTATAGTGAGATTTGGGGGTTACAGGATATGGGAGGGGTAACAGGGTCCCCCGGCCTCCTCAGGGTGGTACTTGGAGCGAACCTGGGGAAAATGGGCAGTGGGGGGAACAGGGGGTTTGGGGGTTAAGAGTGGGATTTGGGGCCCTCTGGGTTATTCTGGGGGGTCCTCTGGTTTTTTTGAGGTGTTTCAGGATGTTTGGGGGGTGTCCTAGGGTGTTACTGGGCTGTCCCAGTGATGTTCTTAGGATGCTTTAAGAGTATTTTGGGGTGTTTCTGGGGTATTCTGGGGTGTTTTAGGGGTATTTTGGGGTGTCCCAGGGGTGTCCCGGGGTGTTCATACATATTCTTGGCTAGAGGTATTTTGGGATATTTCTGGGGTGTTTTTGGGGTATTTTGGGGTGTTTCAGGGGTATTTTGGGGTGTTTTAGGGGTATTTTGGGGTGCTCTGGGGGTATTTTGGGGTGCTCTGGGGGTATTTTGGGGTGTTTTTGGGGTATTTTGGGGTGCTCTGGGGGTATTTTGGGGTGTTTTAGGGGTATTTTGGGGTGTTTCAGGGGTATTTTGGGGTGTCCCAGGGGTGTCCCGGGGTGTTCATACATACTCTTGGCTAGGGGTATTTTGGGATATTTCTGGGGTGTTTCTGGGGTGTTTTAGGGGTATTTTGGGGTGCTCTGGGGGTATTTTGGGGTGTTTCTGGGGTGTTTTTGGGGTGCCCCGGGGTGTTCATACATACTCTTGGCTCGGGGTATTTTGGGGTATTTTAGGAGTATTTTGGGGTATTTCTGGGGTATTTTGGGGTGTTTTTGAGGTGTCCCGGGGTGTTCATACATACTCTTGGCTAGAGGTATTTTG